TATCATCCTGCTGTTTACGTTGGTTTGACTGTTGCCCTCCATTTCACCTCTATCTGTAAGTTACTGGACTTTCTTACAGCATTTATGACACAATTCATGTTGTGACTGCCTTCATGGCTGTATTTTAATCCTTCACAAATAGATTGTCTAAAGCTGGTTTTAAATAATTTATCTCTGAGTTTTAAAACAGCACATATAATTGTATTGTTATAAGACAACAGTATATAAATAGTCTTTCTAGTCTCAGGCAAATCGTTCATGCACAACATGGTTTTTATTTATATCTTCCAAAGTTATATTGGATGCTTGAAGAAACCATCAAAATAACTGACAAGTGACTCTGATAAGACATTGACAGGTTGTAAAACATCTACATATGTCATCACTGACATGGTTATAGTTGGTACATGTTTGGTATTAAAGTTACAATCACATCATATTTACATGTTTTTTCTGATTACTCGTCTTTTCTTTGCTCACAGATCAGCATGGAGCAACCGTGGGAAGCAGATCCAGAAATGATGCCAGCAATGAAAAATGCTATGGGAAGCAGCAGTGACGTTGCAGCTGCACGAATTAGAGAATATCTGGAAAGTAAAAACAATGTACTGCTAAACATAGCAATCACTGGAGAGTCCGGCTCTGGTAAATCCTCCTTTGTCAATGCCTTCAGAGATGTAGAAGACGACAGTGAAGATGCTGCTCCAACTGGTGTTGTAGAAACCACCTTGGAGGTAAAAGAATATCCTCATCCAAACTATCCCAATATCATCTTCAGTGACCTTCCTGGAATCGGAACCACCAAGTTTCCAGCTAAAAAGTATTTGAAGCGTGTTGGATTTAAGAAGTTTGACTTCTTCATCATCATCTCAGCTGATCGCTTCAGAGAAAATGATGCTAAACTTGCGAAGGAGATCAAGAAGATGGGGAAGAATTTCTACTTTGTTCGCTCAAAGGTTGACCATAATTTACGAGATGAACAAAGAAAAAAGGATTTCAGCCAAGAGAAGACTTTAACACAGATCAGAGATGATTGTGTTAAAAGTAAGTGTCTTCTGTTGACTCCTGTTCTGAAGAGAGTTAAAACATTTTTAATATACTTTAAGAAAATAGATGAAATTATAAAGGTTTATAACATGAATGTGTCCTGTTTGTAACACAGGTCTAAAGGATCAAGGAGTTGAGTCTCCACAGGTCTTCCTGGTGTCCAGCCATGACATCCATCTGTATGATTTCCCTCTCCTACGAGAGACCTTAGAGAGGGATCTCCCTGAACACAAGAGAGACGCTCTGCTGTTATCCTCACCCTACATATTCCCAGACATCATTGAAAAGAAGAAAAAGGTTTTCATGCGTCAAATATGGGGTCTTACTGCTCTTTCAGGAGTTGTAGCAGCTGTCCCAGTTCCAGGGCTTTCTGTTGGTGTTGATCTGGCTTTGCTGGTTGGTGCTGTCACCCGTTATGTGACTGGGTTTGGTCTAAATGTTGCATCTCTAAAGAGGACAGCTTCCAGAACAGGTATACCATATGATGAGCTGAAGGCTGTTCTCACTTCTCAATTGGCTGCAGAACACATAACTCATGATCTCATCATGAAGGTGGTTCTTCAGGTTTCAAGCAGGGCTGCACTAATGGCAGCAGAGGAAGCATTCAGATTTATTCCAATTGTTGGAATCCCAGCATCTATGGCTCTCTCTGCTGTCACAACCTACAAATTTTTGAAGCTTTTCCTTGATTTACTTGCTGAAGATGCTCACAGGGTCTCTGACAAAGTCCTGAATAAAAATAAATAAAACACAGATACCTTTATTCATTTAAATCTTGCAAACATCGTTCAGAATTGCTTTATCAGTCAAGTGAGCTTAGTCGCATGCATCATCTGCTGACCCCCATGAGTGCAGAAACTAGAACATTATAGAGAAAAACCTTTTCTTTTACATTAATCATAATGTATGTTTGTAATTTTAGGATTGTAAGCTTTCTAAGAACTTTATTTTGAGTAATTATGGATGTTTTCAGACCCTCTTGAAATTTTTTGATTTTACGAATTATTGTTAAACTGGTTGGTTTGTGGATTGCATGGTGGAGCTGGAGCTAGCACTGATGCTTTGTAACAAGACATTTGTGGTTTTTAATCCCACCCTGGAGTCTATCTGCATGTAGTTTCATGTTCTGTCTATGCAGACGTGGGTTTTCTCTGGATGATTGTTGGTTGATTTTTCTGTATAAATTGTCCTTTTGTCGGTCTCTGCATCATAAGACAATGTAGGAAATGTTTTTGTTTTCATTTAGATCTGAAATGTGTGCACTGTATAAGTGTTTTAGATTAAATGTTGAGCTATTTTTGAAATGATTGTATATGTTTTTAGACAGATTGGAAATTGATTTTGCTTTTAAACTGCTTTATATCGTTTAAATATTTTGACAGAAAAAAATAAACATTATATAATCTTGTCTGTCATGTACAGTTTGACTTCAGTGGGGGGTGGTTTACACATAATTTATGTAGATTTTTTTTATTTATACTCCACAAATGTTCTCTGTATTGTAACAACAATCATAGCTCATCATGAGAATCTTGTTGTTCCTTCTTGACAGCATCTAATTCCACTTGTTCCTCCTCAGTTCTTCTTCCTTTGTCCCTGCTGTGCAACAATAAAGTTGACCTATTAATAACTATAAACAGTTGCTGAGATAAATTATTAAAACAACTAGTAATTAATCCAATCTCCGTCATTGCTAAATTTAAAATATGCATAAACACGTAAGAATGAATTTATCATTGGCTGAGACACATAAAGGAAACCTGACAAATCTGTACATAGCTTGAGCAAAAATGTCATAAACCATGATTTCAGTAACATGTTACTTAGAAAAGCATTACTTTACCATTACTTTAAACCGCTTGTTTCAGTAACGAGTAATCTAACACATTAATATTTCCAATCCAGTAATCAGATTAAACTTACTTAACTAAGTCACTGTGCATTACTATGTTTGTAATTTAACTTAGTAAAATATATACTGTTGTTTTCCTCTCTTTTCTAGGAGTTGCATCTTATGCAACACCAGTGACACGAACATAAACAATGGAGGGAAAAGAGAGATGCACCTTTTCAGATCAAAATATTAAGAGTCAATGTTGACTCTGCTGCAGACAAAGTGCTGCTGTTACACTCTTGAAAATAGAGGAGACAAAAATAAGAGTGATTTTCTATAGGCCTACTTCTCTCTTTTTCAAAGTAACTATCCCTAATTAACTAAAAAAACAATTTATAGACTTATGTTTTCTATCTTGTCCCGTAGACTGAACCATTTGGACATGGTATACGCCCACACAGCTTCTCTAAATGTCGTGGACCTCTAATGCGCATGTGCACACCTGCTGCATGTATGCTACTCTGACACAATATGCCGACCTGACACAACACTGGCTTATCTCCTGTGAAGATCGATTTGCTTCCTTAGAGGATAACAAAAAGTGGCCCCAGACAGTAGCATTCTGCTCCTTTATCGCATCTATCGAGGCTACCCCCTGTCGTGAAACCTGGCTGGAACTAGTT